ATCAAGAACCAGAGGGCACAAATAAAACCTGTTTTACAAAAGAAGCAAATGTGAGCTGGGAAAAACTTGCTCACATGATGAGTAGCTAGGATCTGGTTCACACTGCCTGGAAGTGTAATGGAGACAGCTTCAATTAAGGCATTCAAGAATAGAATAGAATAGAAATTTATTGTCACGTATACTTTCACATGAAAAATACAGTGAAAGATTTTGTAATTGCGGGGAGACGATGGCCTAGTGGCATTATTGCTGGACGGTTAATCCAGAGACCCAGATAACATTCTGGGGATCCGGCTTCGAATCCCGCCACAGCATATGGTGGAATTTGAATTCAATAAATATCTGGAATTAAGAGCCTAATGATGACCATGAATCCATTGTCAATTGTTGGAAAATCCCACCTGGGTCACTAATGTCCTTTAGGGAAGGAAACTGCAGACTTACCTGGTCTGGCCTACATGTGACTCCAGACACACAGCAATGTGGTTGACTCTTAACTGTCCTCTGGGCAATTACGGATGGGCAATAAAAACTGCCTGGTCAGCGACGCCCTCATCCTGAGAATGAATTAAAAAAAATTGCCCTACAAGGTGCCATATATAATTGACAACAGTCATACACAATAATTTTAAAAATGCAAAATTAAGGCAAAGTTCATCACAAATCAGTTAATGGCTCCTGGGCTCAGGGAATGCTGATGAAGGAAGTATGGAATACTCAAAAGACACAGCCAGGAGAAGACTGCCATTCCGGGATGAGAATGTCACGCCGGGCTGCCGGAATACTGGGCTGGAAGCCTTCACCGAAGAAAACTGCCATGACAGGCAGAGACCGCCAACCCTGGACAAGACGGCCTGCCCGGCCACTGGAAGCCTACGCTGAAGAGCTCCACATGGTGATGAGATCTCCTCACTGGGCCAAACCTGCCACGCTGGGACAGAGCCGCCACGCTGGGGCAGGATCTCCACACTGGGACAGGATCTCCACGCTGGGACAGGGTCACCACGCTGGGACAGAGCAGTCACGCTGGGACAGAGCCGCCACGCCGGGACAGAGCCACCACGCCGGGGCAGGGTCACCACGCTGGGACAGAGCTGCCACGCTGGGACAGGGTCACCACGCTGGGGCAGGGTCACCACGCTGGGGCAGAGCCGCCACGCTAGGACAGGGTCACCACACTGGGGCAGGGTCACCACGCTGGGACAGAGACGTCACGCTGGGACAGAGACGTCACGCTGGGGCAGGATCACCACACTGGGACAGAGTCACCACGCTGGGGCAGGGTCACCACGCTGGGACAGAGCCGCCATGCTGGGACCGTGTCACCACGCTGGGATAGGGTCACTACGCTGGGACAGAGCCGTCACGCTGGGACAGGGTCGCCACGGTGGGACAGAGCCGTCACGCTGGGACACAGCCATCATGCCTGGCCGCTGGAAGCCATTACATCTCTGGGCCAGGAGAAGCCTTCCACTGAAGCCATTAATAGAAGGTTAGATGAATCTTGATAATTATTATAATAACTGGAAACATTAAAACAGGGAAAAAATAGTAAAAGCGGGCGGAGTAGACAAGTTCTGAGCTCCTGGGCTAGGGAGCCTGCATACAAAGCGACAACTATTTGTACAGTGGAAGGCTTAGAGATTGGCTGTATGTCAAAATGCTCAGAGAACCAGAGCAGGCACAAGGAACGAATGATCTCCTTCTCCTGCATAACAGTTTTGTGATTCTGTGGGATCTAGACTACAATTGCAAATGCTCCACTAAGACCTTTACATTGGGTATAGATCGCCAAGTATATAAATTTTATACAAGGTCTCGGTATATATACTTAAAAAACTATATATCAATGGCATTGCCAAGGGCAGAGAACCAATTAATTGGACTGGGCACTCAACTGAAAGAGAGCTTTGTGACATTAAGAGAACATAATGAAGACGCAAGGACTGACATTCCAAATTATTTTTTTCACCTGAGAAAATCTCAAAATAGCCTGAGAGCTAAAGCAAGCCTTCATGGTGTATGAATGTCAGATTACAAATGTAGGAAGATTGAATTGCTGCTGAGTAATATTTCTCACTATTAGTTTAGGCATAAATTGAGATAAAATTGTGACAATATGTTATGCAACTGCTTCAGCCAGACATATTTTAGGAAATACATTTTGCTTCCAGCGAGGCAGGTTTGAAATTGCACTGTCGTAATCAACGTAATTGAAAAAACAAGTTACTGATAATAATTAGTTACTGAAAAATATGAGGCTTCAGTACCTACTTTATAACATAATTGGACATGTTGCATTTTTCAATATTCTCCCAGTTGTACAATTGAGTTGCAAAGGTATAAAGCAAATGGACTTAAGAAGGTTAATTGTAAAAATTACCTTCACAAATCAGCACTTACTAAGAATGGCTTTTTGTTTTTCTCTGCAGTGTAGCAGGATGTGGATAAGTATCTCTATCATGGATAAGTATCGCTCTTGTCATAATGGCACTATCTTCTCCTGGTTCAATAATATTCACCTTTTAGACTGGCCTCAGGATTTAACCTTCCAAAATGATTTGGGAATGTCTTTCTCAATTTTCATATCAAAATGTCTCACTTTATAAGGTCCTGTCATGTTCAGAAGTTGTCATTCTTAATAAAGGTTTTAAATAAAATGCAAATGAGTTCATAGGTGTTACAATTCACGAGTTGCTGAGAATAGATTCAGATTCAACAAAGAAGTGTTGAAATTGCAGATTCTTTTGTTCTGATGAATGGAAGCTGTTCAACATGCACACAGTGTTATATTCATTAAATTGTAAGAAAGCACAATTCTTTGTTGAAAATTCTTTATGGACTCATGTTCAAAAGATGAGTCCAAACTAATAGCTGTACATTGCCTACCTTTCAGCCGCCTGATGGTTTGTTGAGCCCCAAAGAAACACTGTTGCATTGTTCAGCATGTGCTGTCACTGTTCCTGCAGTGCATTGATTCACAGTGTGAATGGGATCAAAGGGTCATATCCTTAAAAAGTCACAATTACACTGATTAAGAGCTATGATGCATTCTGTAGAGAGTTCAATTGTACTGGAGGCAGGTACCTGCAGCGAGAGATGAATGGATGGGCATGCATAGTTGGAGGTCAGGCAGAGGATAAAGACAGGGAATGGAATTTAACGAGCCATTTTATTCGGAACATAATCCAGCATGACATGTGCTGGGGCAGCCATGAAATTGAATTGAAATTGTTACCTTGTTAGATGCTGCTGTTGCCTTGCTGGACGCAGTATGTTTGCAGGAGGCTGTCAGTCAAAGCATCACTGTTGTCCCCTTCAATATCGATATTATGCCCAATAAGTGCATGTCTTTTTTTAAAGTTTTAAACATGGACTGTCCAGGGCTGTATTTTCGTTTAAAAAATAGACCTTTTGAGATGGCTGCTGGGGTTTGGGTGACTTTTGCAATTTTTCATAGAAATCATAGAATCCCAACAGTGTTTACAGCAGGCCATTTAGCCCAACAAGTCCAACCCTCCGAAAAGCATTCCACCCAGACATACCCCCTACTGCCGTAAGCTGGCATTTCCCACCTAGTGTGCACATTCCTGAACACTATGGGCAATTTAGCATGGCCAATCCACCTAAACTACACAGCTCTGGACTATGGGGGAAAACTGGAGCACCCGGAGGAAACCCACACAGACACGGGGAGAATGTGCAAACTCCACACAGACAGTCGCCCGAGAGTAGAATCAAACCTGGGTCCCTAGAGATGTGAGGCAGCAGTGCTAACCACTGAGCCACATTACCACAGACTGGGAACTACCTGAAGTCTCCTGAATGTTGGAAATTGAATTACCGTGGGTGGGAAGGAGCATTGAATATTTGTGGAATTCACACCATCTGCAAACTTACACAAAAATTAAGTTAGACTTTATGCTTCCAAGCACGAAAAATAGAGCTGTCAAGAAACACGACCGTCATAAGTGGGTGTAAATGACCACCATCTATCTCCTTCTAGCTTCGACTTACTCTAGGTAGACGACATAATTATTAAACATGTAGATACACACCTGAAAGTTACTACAGGTAATGAGCCAAGAACCAGTGTGAAACAAGTTAGTCTATAAACAATACAGCAAAAAAAAGCAGCCACAAAGGCAAATGACAATACCTTAAAGCTGGAGACTGTGACATTGTAAGACCTCCAAGCTCGATCCTTTCAAGTCCACCAGTACATAAACGATTGACCTCCTAGAAAAAAAACAAGCAGCTGACTTTGTGATGTGCTGAAAAATTACCTCCAAAAGAGTCCTGAGATGACTATGTTATATGACGCTGATGATTGAAGCTACACTTCAAGTATGACATCTTCTGCTGCTTCTGGGAACAGGAATAATGGGAAGCAGAGGAACGTTATTGCATTAGATGGTCAAATTCCGATGGTGGGATGGACTTCTACAAAGAAGTTTTGAGATGGGTCAAATTTCCTAATGGCAAGCATCAGGAAACCCTTTACCATGTGCTAACATCTCATTAAAAGGCCCGCTCACCATAATTAATCGCCCCATCTCAATCCTGTGCAAACAAGAAATATGTGTCTTCAGTTTGATGACTCGATATAAGGGGCATGCTGCAGATGAGGTCGTCACCTTCCTGGCTTATGAAGTGAGTAATTGCTGCTGCGTCCCCTTTGGGCACTGTCCATACAGGCAGGATAGTGACTAAGATAAAGTTTTGTTCATCCAGGTTGCACAGAGGATGACCAAGGGACGAAACCTGGAGTCTAATGGGTGCTGGTCAAAGAGGCTGGCCAATGGAGATGGAGTCACATTCCAGTGGTCAAGTTTTTCCCCAATCATTCAGCCTCAGTTTTCCCTTAACGTATCCTCCTCACCACTCACAGCAAGACACCATCAGGCCAGGCAGTGAAGTGGATGCAGTGATTGCTCGGAAAGCAGCCAAAGAGGGAATAAAATCAGATGAACACTACCTCCTGGGTCGCTGGACAAATAATGGCCAAGTTCCATCGTACTGATGTCACCATATTCAGAGACGACACTCCTGGTGGTGTGAGGTAAATGTTGTCTCAATTCGCCCACATCATCTGAGCCTGATGGGGTACAAAGTACAATGCCCATTAGGAACTGAAACCATTGCTGGAACTATCAACACATTATGAATACAGCAAAGATAAAGAGAATACAAACATCGTTATGTGTACTAATGTGATTGCAGTGATTGAACATCTGTTACGTGCATTTAAAATTTATTTATCTTTCTTATTTCTCACTATGTCTAGGGGCTGTCCCAACCTTTGCAATCGCGAACAAGAACAAAGTTGCTGGAAAAGCTCAGCAGGTCTGGCAGCATCTGTGAAGGAAGAAACAGAGTTAACGTTTTGGGTCCGGTGTCCGGTGACCCTTCCTCAGAACATGCACAGATGCTGCCAGACCTGCTGAGCTTTTCCAGCAACTTCTGTTTTTGTTCCTGAATTACAGCAGCTGCAGTTCTTTGGGTTTTTATTTGCAATCGTGCTGTGTTTTGTTAGTTGTGATGATATTGACAGGCATCGTCTGGTGGTGTACAGCCTGGGGAGGGGTGCCAGCCTACTTAGGGTCTCAGCCTCAGCTCCTCAGCCTGATCTGCTGGAGGTGATGGGATCACTAGCAGAGGGGATGTGCATTAGCAGGGCATCACCACACTGTTATGGAACAAACCCTTGGGATGTTTCTTCTCCCTGTCGGCACACAACAGCACCTCCCTAACTCCTAGGGACACCTGGAAGATAGCCACTGTGTCTCAACCTTTTCTCACCTCGCCAGTGAGGCACTATGATGGAGCACTTATCCTGCTACACCTCAGTCTCCAAGGCAGTCACTATCTCGTCCATGCAGGCAGCTAGGCATTTGCAATCTGGAACTATGACAGTGGGACGGATTCCTCCAAACCGCACTCTGATCTAATCATGGGCTCAAACACTACTGCATCATGTTCCATTTTCTGTCTTTGCCTGTGCATCAGGTCTCTTACAGCGAAATCCAGAGGCTTTTCATCTACACGGGTCTCAACAGATGCCTGGTCTCCAGCAGTTTGAGACCTCAGCTCCCACATTCTCTATCAGCAGTGGACTCATGTCTGTGATGTGCTCACCACAATTGCATCCCCTGAGCCCAGTCTAGAACATGGATCTCACGGTGGGATCATAGTAATTGGGGATGCTATTAAAGGCAGAGTTAGATGACGCAGATATCATAGAGGTGTAAAGACTGTATCTTTTTTTTATTTCTTTCTGTATTTTTGGTTGTGGACTAATGAGGGAAAAGGGCTGTTTTACAAACCAAGGATTGTGGAGATTATTAGTGCACTTTTCATTGTAAGTGCTGTTACACTACTGTTTGTTAAAGCACTGGGGGAGGCACAGTTGCAGATAAGCCAGATCCAGACAGCATGTACAAAATGAGATTCGGCCAGCAATAAGTCGCTAATTAGTTTGAAGTAAGCTTGCTTGCTTCTCTTATCAGTTGATGTGAGTGTTTGCCTACAACCAAGAAGTCAGAGGCATTATAATTTGTGAACCACATGCTCTGTGCCACCTGCAAGAAAGTGAAAAACATTTTACGAGTGAGAGAGATAGATTGCCAAAGTCAAACTAAAATGTTCATCTCAGTTAAGTTTGTGGATAGGGTCCATTGAAGTGCCTTCCCAGTTATTCCCCTCCACACAAATGTTTTTGCATCTGTCTGTATGTGTGTGTAGGGGAAGTTTTATGAGGGAGGTTAACAGTAATTACCAGTAGGGTTGTACGTTGATGGTTCATATAGGCAGACCCTGTGTTGCAAATGGATTCCGTTCTGGAGTCCTGTTGCAAGTTGATTTGTATGCAAGTCGGAAAACAATGCAGGACATAATGAAGGAGTCACTTGTAAGTACTTCCTTGGTGACTGCATTGAGTGTAGAAGTCGGAAGGTCATGTTGCAACTGTACAGGACATTGGATAGACCACTTGTGGAATACTGCATTAAATTCTGGTTTCCCTGCTATTGGAAAGATGTTCTGAAACTTGAATGGATTCAGAAAAAAATTACAAGAATGTTGCCAGGGTTCGAGGGTTTGAGCTAGAAGGAAAGGCTGAGTAGGATGGGGCTATTTTTCCTGGAGTGTCAGAGGCCGAGGGATGACCTTATAGAGGTTTATAAAATCATCAGGGGCACGGATAGGGTGCATAGCCAAGGTCTTTTTCCCCGGGTAGGGGAGACCAAAACTAGAGGGTGGAGCTGGAGGAATACAGCAGGCCAGGCAGCATCAGAGGAACAGGAAAGTTGATGTTTCAGGTCGGGACCCTTCTTTCCTGTTCCTCTGATGCTGCCTGGCCTGCTGTGTTGCTCCAGCTCTACACTGTATTACCTCTGACTCCAGCATCGGCAGTTCTTACTATCACCAAAACTAGAGGGCATAGGTTTAAGATGAGAGGAGAAAGATATAAAAGGGACCCTAAGGGGTAACTTTGTCACACAGACGATGGTGCGTGTATGGAATGAGCTTCCAAAGAAAGTAGTGGAGACTGGTACAAATATAATATTTAAAGGTCATCTGGATGGGTATATGAACAGGGATATGGACCAAACAGAACATAGAACATAGAACAGTACAGCACAATATAGGCCCTTCGGCCCACGATGTTGTGCCAAACTTTTACCCTAAAACTAAGGTCTATCTAACCTCCACCCCTACCTTATACTATCATCCATATGCCTATCTAATAGCCGCTTAAATGCCCTGAATGAGGCCGACTCCACTACCCTCTCCGGCAATGCACTCCATGCCCCTACCACTCTCTAAGTAAAGAACCTACCTCTGACGTCTCCCCTATATCTACCTCCACTCACTTTAAAACTATGCCCCCTCATAATAGCTACCTCCACCCTAGGAAAAAGTCTCTGGCAGTCCACTCTATCTATACCTCTGATCATTTTATACACCTCTATCAAGTCACCGCTCATCCTTCATCATTCTAAAGAGAAAAGCACTAGCTCTCTCAACCTCTCCTTGTAAGACCTTCCCTCCATTCCAGGCAACATCCTGGTAAATCTCCTCTGCACAAAACGCTTCCACATCTTTCTTGTCCAGAACTGGACACAATACTCCAGATGTGGCCGAACCAGGGTTTTCTATAGCTGGAGCATAACTTCATGGCTCTTGAACTCAATCCCTCTATTAATGAAAGCTAACAACTCTATCCACCTGGGTGGCAGCTTTCAGGGAACTGTGGACATGAACCCCAAGATCCCTCTGCTCCTCCACACTGCCAAGAATCTTTCCGTTAACCCTGTATTTTGCTTTCAAGTTTGTCCTTCCAAAATGAATCACCTCACACTTTTCAGGGTTAAACTCCATCTGCCACTTCTCAGCCCAGCTCTGCATCCTATCAATGTCCCTTTGTAACCAAGAACAGCCCTCCGCACTGTCCACAACGTGACCCACCTTCGTATCGTCCACGAACTTGCTAATCCACCCTTCCACTCCCACATCCAAATCATTTACAAAAATCACAAATAGAAGAGGACCCAGAACAGATCCTTGAGGTACACCACTCGTAACTGAGCACCATGTTGAATATTTTCTGTCCACTACCACCCTTTGTCTTCTAAGGGTCAGCCAATTCTGAATCAAATCTGCCACATTTCCCCCTATCCCATGCCTCCTTACCTTCTGCATGAGCCTACCATGGGGAACATTATCAAATGCCTTACTTAAATCCATGTATACCACATCCACTGCTCTACCTTCATCCACGTGTTTGATCACCTCTTCAAAGAATTCAATAAGGTTTGTGAGGCATGATCTACCCCTCACAAATCCATGCTGACTATCACGAATCAAACTGTGCCTATCCAAGTGATCATAAATCCTATCTCTCAGAGCCCTTTCCAATAATTTGCCCACCACTGAAGTAAGACTAACCGGCCTGTAATTTCCAGGGTTATCCCTATTCCCTTTTTTGAACAAGGGACTGACGTTTGCCTCTCTCCAATCTTCCGGCACTATACCCATGGACAATGAGGACAAAAAGATCATCGCCAAAGGCCCTCCGATCTCTTCCCTCACATCCCATAGAATCCTTGGATAAATCCCATCAGGCCCGGGGGACTTATCTATCTTCAAGTTCCTCAAAATTCCTAGTATATCTTCCTTACTAACATCCACCTCCTCTAGACTACCAGCCTGTTTCATACTGTCCTCCTTTACAACTAGGTCCCTCTCAGTTGTGAATACTGAAGAAAAGTATTCATTAAGGATCTCTTCTATCTTTTTAGGCTCCGTGCACAAATTTCCTTTACAATCCTTGATCGGCCCTACCCTTTCTCTGGTCATTCTCTTATTCCTTACGTACGTGTAAAAAGCCTTGGAGTTTTCCTTGATCCTATCTGCCAAGGTTTTCTCATGCCCCCTTATAGCTCTCCTAAGCACTTTCTTCAGCTCCTTCCTGGATAACTTGTATCCCTCTAGAGCCTTTTCCGTTCCTTGTTTCCTAATTCTTACATAAGCATCCTTCTTCCTCTTAGCCAGTTGTTCGACCTCTCTTAAGAACCAAGGCTCCCTCACTCGACCGCATCTTCCCTGCCTGCTAGGGACAAACATATCGAGCACATGCAGTATGCATTCCTTAAACAATCTCCACATTTCTATAGCACTCGTCCCTGACACCATCTGTTCCCATTTTATGTTACCCAGTTCTTGCCTAACAGATTTATAATTACCCTTCCCCCAGTTATAAACCTTACCCTGCTGTATGTACCTATCCTTTTCCATGACTATTGTAAAAGTAACAGAGTTATGATCCCTACCACCAAAATGCTCTCCTACCAACAGGTCTAACACTTGGCCCGGTTCATTGCCAAGCACTAAATCCAAAGTGGCCTCTCCTCGTGTTGGTCTATCTACGTACTGTGTCAGGAATCCTTCCTGAACGCACTGGACAAAATCTGTTCCATCTAAACTATTACAACTAAAACGTTTCCAATCAATATTTGGAAAGTTGAAGTCACCCATGACTACAACTCTGTGACTTCTGCA